TCATCAGCAAACTTTCTGAGGGAGCACTCTGTGCCTTCATCCAGGTCATTGATGAATAAATTGAACAGGACTGGACCAAGGACTGACCCCTGGGGGACCCCGCTAGCTACAGGCCTCCAACTAGACTCTGGCACCGCTGATCACCACCTTCTGAGCTCTGCCATCCAGACAGTTCCTAATCCACCTCACTGTGCACTCATCTATCCCACACTTGCGGAGCTTGCCCAGGAGGATGTTGTGAGGGACGGTGTCAAAGGCCTTGGTGAAGTCGAGATAGACGACATCCACCGCTCTCCCCTCATCTATCCAGCCGGTCATTCCATCATAGAAGGCTATCAGGTTAGTCAAGCAAGATTTCCCCTTGGTGAATCCATGCTGACTACTCTTGAGCACCTTCTTGTCCTCCATGTGCCCAGAGACAGCAGCCAGTATGAGCCGTTCCATCACTTTTCCGGGGACGGAGGTGAGGCTGACTGGCCTGTAGTTGCCTGGGTCCTCCTTCTTGCCTTTTTTGAAGACTGGTGTGACATTGGCCTGAGAGTGTAGTCTGGTCAGGATTTGCTGAACCTCAGTGGACTAATGGCTAATACACATTCTGCACATTCCTTTGTTTTCAGTACTCATATATTATAGCCAGGCATCAATGTATGGTGACTGAAATTGGCCGGTTTTGCAGCTGGCTAATCAGCTTCATTGGCAAACACATAAAGGCCTAAAGCTGTAGCCCAATTTGTCAGACACTTTCCTAAATACCACGTATTACAAATTATTCTAGTCAGAGCTACAGGACTAAATCAATAAAGTAACTGCACATGTTAATATTATGACATAGCTTTTAAAAGTTCTTCAATCATAAATTCAGGAAACGAAACAGTATTTCTGCTACTAAAATGCCATCAACAAGAAATCAAGGAATCAAGAGTTCTCCTAACAGACTCAGCTTTCTGTTTTATAGTTCTAAGCCCTTTTTTTTTTCAAGCTAACAGTGCCAAGAAACAGAGTGCAACCAGCTAACTGCAGCATGGGGC